TCGTATCATCTCCGTTCACTCCAATGGACCAGTTTTTCACAGCAATGGCAGATCATGGAGCGTCTGAATAGTTCCCGGAAGTTAGCATTAAATGCTAGCAGCGCAGCAGAGCTGCAATAGAAAATGCTATTAGGGAGGTACGTTTACAAGGTAAGACGTGTATGAGATTATATATTATTAGCACAAATGAATCAAGTTAATATGTGCATTAAAACATGTTAGTAGATTTCCCCCACTAAACACTTAACGGTTAACAAATTAACAAACACGTGCGTGTATGAATAAAAGATTTCTTACTGGATATGTTTACACTAATTACATAATTACTTTGTACAAATTCATATCACATCAAAGTTCCTGTGTGTGATGAGTGTTTGTCTTTGTGGAAAAAGTACTTCACATATTTTTTTGTTGTTAGCCTCTTTAGTGATTGTAAGGTTGCTCCTATTGACCTGAGTCAACCATTTCTTCCTCCACTCCATGTCAGCTGGGAAACCATACATTCATACTCCTTTTTCTGACCAACTACAGCAGCATCTCAAAACACAGCACAATAAACCGTCCTGTAGACTATTGTAAGACAGTACACAGGCACAAACCACTTAACATGCTGTTTTCTGAGTTTATTGGAGATTTATTAAATTAATACATAGCAATCATTGATAGTCACCTGTCTGTTCTATCTGAAGTCATAAAGATTACATTAGCCATTAAAATCAATTAACCCTGGTGTTATGACACCCACCAAAGCTCGTTACAATGGAGGTCGAACATAATTGAAGAGTCCAGGAGTTATGCAACAAAACATAAGTTTATTGAAATAAACCTGAAATAAGTTCAGAACTACCAGTCCCATCAGAAATATCAGAAAAGAACAATAATCAAAAGAAATACAAATCAACAGCCGTCTCTGTGGTCTGCTGCTGCCATGGCTGGAAGGTGGACAAAGAGAGAGCCAAGCGCCCAGCCCCCTCTTATGCGTTTCTCCCCTCGTCTCCCAGACCTAACAAGGAGAATGTAACACCTGGTACCATGGGATTACCAAAAGGAATGTTAGAAAGGTAAATCTGATCTGAATTTTAAAACATTGTGTTTTCAAGAGGAACACACTTTCCAATGTAAGGTTAGCCAAAAAATGTCAACAAGGTAGGTGATTGTAGCTGTTATTGTCAAAAATATCTGTCCATTTAAAAAAATAGTAATGTAACTTCATACACGTGTCAGTGTGCTGTACAAATATTGTAAATCAACACATTAAATTTCCAAAAATCACTTAAAATTGCATATTTGTTGTTTCTCTCTCTGAACTATCTGCGGTCTCCATGAACCATGTGACGATGAAGCATTTTGGACCCCGCTGACTGGACTCTCTGTTTAAAGGGCTCTGGTTACTAGTAAGTAACTGAATAGTTACTAGTAACCATTTCCATTTTGCTAGTCACTATTATTTAGATAATAGAGCTTATTCTTTATTCTTCTTTACTAGTAACTATTCTGTTCTTACTAGTAAGAATGAAAATGTCAACAAACCATTTTACTAGTCATTAATAATTGACCAGTAAAAAAATGTACAAGTAAGAGAATGGAAATGTTACTTGTATCTTTTGGAATAGTTACTAGTGACTAATCAAAAGGTACAAGTATCTTAATAATAGATACCAGTAAAATGGAAATAGTTGATAGTAACTAACAAATAGATATCTGAACTGCAGAGCCCCATATATTTTAAACTAGTAACTATTCCATTAGTTACTAGTAATTATTCCTGTTTTACTAGTAACAACATATTAGATACTAGTACAGAAATTTTCCTTACCAGTAACTACTGAATAATTTACTAGTAACCATTGTTTAGTTACTAGGGACTAATTGCACAAGCCAAGTCATTAATGAATGACTAGTAACCCTAAAAATGGACTAGTAATAATGAAATGTCCAAAATCCAAAACTCTCTCTCTTTTTTCACGTCTTATTGCTCACACACCAGCTTAGAGTTGATCTCGTCGCCATAACAACCTCGTTATTCAGCCTGATCAACGCTGAGGGCACAATAGACTCTGCATCAATGCCAGCCAAAACATCACTCTGCACAATCAGCCCAATCGCTGTACAAGCCTCTTATCAGGCTGCATGCAATGAAAGGGCCTGAAGCGCAATCAGATCCACCTCGTGAATAAACGGACCCAGACGCTGACTGCTACTTTTAATTTGGCAAACAGTGAAATAATGGGGGCTCGCTTGGAGTTAGACTAGTTTGGAACGGGTAACTACATGCAAAGTGTATTATGAATGATGCCTTTGCCCCTTAAAGGCAGTCATTAGAGCACTTAATCATAAAATATTGCTCCTTGGATACCCAGCAAGTCCTGCTGTGTTAGAGCAAAACTTGCTCCCTAGTAGCCTAGCATGCATTTTTCATAGTATCAGACCTACTACAATATCCCCATTTTTTACCCAAAGGTAATTTATCATTCTTGCCATGTCTAATTCCTGGGATCTCTGCTCTGCATGCTTTTAAATTATTTAAATTTAAAGTATTTATTTTGCACTGATTGCATAATTGAGTGGTATCACAGGCTTGTCAGTGTGTGAAAAATAATTTTCAACAAAGTGCCATTAAGATCTTTTGTGTGTAGTATAGCCTCTAAAGAGAGAGGAAAGCATGTTGGTGTGATGCAGCATCTTTTCAAGGAAGGAAATGCTCTGTTGTCCTAAGCTTTCACAGTACAGAGCTTGGATTTTGTCAAGAGTTGCAGCACCTTTGAATTCAAAGTGATGATGTTGCGTAAAGTTTTCTCCTCAGGGTGGTAAACATCATCTCTTCTCCCTTGATATGTAAAATATCTCAGAGACACACTAACGTTAAGTGAAGAGAAGTGATATTTGGAGAATTTGTTTCATTATACTTTTCAAAACTTTTAAAACATCAATTGCTCCAACCAATTAACGGCCGTCATGGAAGTTGTACTTAACATCTAGTTGTCAGGATGTGATACATACAGTATATGGCTGTGAAATAAGTTGCGAATTAACCATTGAACATTCAGTGTGTCTGTAATGGGAATTCAGTTCATTTTGCACATGACCAATTTATATAATGATTAAATACATAATAAATATGCAGCATGGCTCATATTTAAACTATAATGTCTGTCTTGGAGATATATTTTCTCATAACCTAGAGTATTTTAGACCCCTTTTCATTTATATGCACACATATTATTTCAGTCTTTGATGATTCCTCGCTCTATCCTGGTAATTGTTGAGACTTCCTGCTTCCTGTTTTGGTTGCCGCTGTGCCTGCATGGTTGAATTCAGATTCTCTGAATCTTAATTAAAACTTCTTCAGTCTTGTGAGACGAGCACCATGTTTAACTGCATATTCATCATGCAGCGCATAGTGGTTGATTGATCATATCAAAATAACTTCCTGTGTGCTCCTCTCCAGAACTTCCTGATTGCTAATACAGCTCGGAAAGTCAATTTACAAATTTGTAAATGCTGTAGCACGGATGAGTTTGTCTGTGTTGCCTTGCAGCTGCTTCTCCTAAGAAGATATTTGGTCTTGGACTTTTAGTATATTCCATTCCACTCACATTCCTGTTAACATGTTAGCCTGAGGAAATATTATCCTATAATTGAAATGTCAACGTAACCTACAGCAAAATTAAACATTTTATCTTTGTTTCGGCCTTGACTATACACCATAAAACTTTGTTTAAAAGCAGAATTCCAATTAGACGCCTGTCCCTTTTACTGGCCTGGTGTGGCTACACGCTTTGACAAATAAACCAGGTCTCAATTAGAAGCCTGGTCTGATTATTATATAATTCTTTGAATGTCTAAAGCCTCTTAAAGGAAACTGGGTGTGCTTGAGCTAGATCAAAAGAATGATTTGTAATTGATATGATATTCAAAAGCCTAATTTTTATTAAGTAAGTAATATTCATACTGGTATAAAAAAACAAATGATAGTAGCCTATTCCCCATCTTTCCAAAGGAATTAAATGAATATAATTTAAATAAAAATATGGTAAAGGCACTTTTATTTTCATGTAAATGTATCAGAATTTTTTCTCTGTATTTAACCCATCCCTCAAGGGAGTAGGGGACAGCCACTGTACAGCACCCAGGTACCAAGTCCAGAAACTCCACACTGAAAGGCTTGGGACGACCGGGTTTGAACACTGGACCTTCTTGTTGTGAGGCCACGGCACTATCAAGTGAGTTCAGTGATTAAAGCAAATAGTTTGTTTTATGTCACTTGTCTTATCAGTGTAAATGAGACTGGAGCTTTGATGAGAGCATCACACCACTCCCATATTTAAAACTACAGTGTTTCTGTTGAGAAATGAAATGAAATTCACAAATATGAACATTTATCCACCTATAAGAAGTAACAAATTAAAAATTAAGTGAAAAATTAAAATTGTCCCTTTAACAACAGTTGTCAACCCCCACATCCATGGACCCTTATCCCTCTGCTGTCTTCAGTCACCCTGGTAAACATGAGGGTTTTGTGTACAGTTCATTATTATCATCAAAACATTCAAATAGTAATTGCTCTCTGTGAATGCAGCTGTGGAGCTTAGATTCCAACACCTGCACATGAGGGTGTTAACATTTGAGGTTGACATCTGCAAGTAGCTCTTAGTGCTGTGCTTATTTGTCTTGTTTCCAAGGAAACAACGATCTGTTGGGTCATCTTTCATATGGTGACAGCTTCAACAAAGGACCAGTCATCTTAAACTTATACCAATTTTCATAGTTATAACAATAATTTTGTCATTTTTTTGTTCTTTCATCAAATACTATCCAGTCAGCTGGCACCACTGAGGATTTGGTGATGCAGTGTCCAAAAATCTGACCTACATACCTTCAGGCTAGTCTAATTTTTCATGAGTCGTTAAATCAGAATTTATTTGTCATGTTACACCACTTCTGAAACTAGAAATCCTGTTTAATGCAAAATAATGTATTTATTTTTAAAAATGCAGGCTGATATATACCGAGGCATTGTGCAATATTAATGCAGTGGCACTATTTTTGGGTGGAATGAATAAGCGGGCTCCAGCCTGGCAGGACTCCAGAATGTTGGGATTAATTGCTGCAGTGGGTGATTCAGCACCTGCAGGTAACTCATCTACAGTTTTAGCACGCACCTGTATTATGCAAGTATTTGTTCTCAGGCCCAAAATGCCATGTAAATCTGGTTTCATTTGTGCTATATTAATGAGCATTTTTCTTGAATTGGTTTCTATTCTTCCTGCTAGAATCAGCTATTTTCTCAGTAGGATATGAAGTAGTGGTTCAACAGAGAAAAGAGCTGGTGACAATTAGGTTTCCAGTTTAGTTACTTTTACTGGCTTTGAAAATTCCTAAGTATTTTATTGTTTTTAACTACACAAAGCAGCAACCCTGTCCTCATTTAACCTCTGTTTTTCTTTTTCAGTAGAACACGGTGGCAATCTGAATCTGAGCCACATGGTGACTGTTTGATCATATTTCACTGCCAGATCTGCAGAGGCTGCAACCAACAATTTGCCCACTGAAAAACAAGCTTTCTCCAGCCAGACTCTGATATAGTATAAGGCCACCTCCACAAGCCCCATCATGACACATTCTGACAGATGTATTAAGATAGAAAAGACTAAAACCAGACACACACATATGTACACTTTAAAAGAGAAATCTATCTTATTTTCTTCTGCTGACTGGCTGCCTTAAATTGGAAAGAATAGCATCCACGTTTTTGAGCAGAGTGTGTTCATATGCCCAAATGCCATGAGTCCTTTGCGTCATGCACTTTTGGTGGTCCAAGCAAGCAGGCAGTGCAACCAAATCTCCAGAGTAAGTAACAATCAGGAAGATTGTTTTCACCAAAATTGCACTGCACTGTTTGATTGTTACTAACGCGCCCACTTCCGTGCCCCTCCTTCCACGTGGTTCATAGGGCGACACCGTAACACCCAACAGGAACTGGTGAGAAAATAACCTGGGTGTAGTGGGTGAAAATGCCACTTTAGCAGCACAAAAGCACCCACATACTCTATGCAATGTCACGAAAATAGAGCCCTCTGTCCTTTCAGAGATGTTCTGAGACGTACCAGGGTACATAAAAGTCAGAAATGGAGAGGGAAAAATAGGTTGAAATACACCTCTCTCACCTACCCACAGAACCAGTTGAAATCATGAAAGATTGGCGACTTGCAGAATCCAAACAAGATGCCTTTTGTAAAAGTAAATTTGTCTTGTTGGGTGTGTTCAAATGAATACTATATCTCTATGATGTGATTACTTCCTAAAAAATGTTAATTCACACTACATGGGATTCAATGCAGGTCAACGCATCTACAGGATATACAATGCATTTTGTATTTGGGAAGTGCACTTCTGTGGTCCATGCATTACAGGTTGAAAAGCAGAAATAGAGGTTCCTGCTCCCATATTTTCCAGTTCAGGCCCAGCTTTGTCACCACTGTTTCAGTTCTTTGTAATTCTTGCACTGGGTCACTCACTGCAGGCCACTCAATCACTCCTTCACTCGCCGTGTTCTCCATGACAAATAGATGTGTTCCTGCCAAGCTCTTCTTAAACAAATGAATGTGTTTTCTGCCACCAGACCAGACCTGGGGGTTTTCTTTTTTTTTTCCTTTTTTGCTGAAACAGGCAAAACACCTTGTTGTTTGTCACTTCAGAGGTCTACTGTATATCTCACTCCTCTGGGCGATAGGTATTTTTCAGGAAGACAGATTAATACATCAGTTTCCTATTCTCTGCTCACTGCACTACAAATAACCTGCTCATATCTATACATAGCCTGCCTTCTGCACTTGTTTTAGAAGATAAACCACACCTAAGCACTGTTCCCCCTGACTTACTTAAATCTGTTATCTTGCTATTTTATTTCCCTTTTATTACAAAGACAGAAAAACACCTGAGTTTCTTTGCATGATAAATACACATATTGTATATGTTAGCCAGAACAGAAAGAGAACAGAAGACGCTGGAGTGGTGTAAATCACACACTGATTTGTATTTCATTCCTATACCCTTCCAAAACATGTGAACATAATATATCCAACAAACCCTAACTCCAATAAACTAAGCTATTTGTTAGCACACTCCAAAACAACCTGCATGAGGTTTTTTTGCCACCATTAGCAGGACAAAGATACACCAGCAGTGCTTTTCGGCAGACCTAAGTTGATGGTTGGTGCAGTAGTTCACCACCCCCAGTGGATGTGTGTTCAGACTGAACAGTAAGTGAATTTTAGAGGCAGCATGCTAGTTTACAAAGTTAAAGAACTATTGGTTCAACATTTCAATCGCAGCTGCTGACAGTCACATCAGCACCACTCTCATGCCTGTAGTCTATGGTTAATATAAAGCTACAGCCAGTTAGCGTAGCTTAGCACAAAGACTGGAAACGGGGAAACAGCGAGCCTGGCTCTGTCTAAAGGTAACAAAATTTATTGGTGGCTTTTCTTGACCAGTAACTAAAGTGAGTTAACTAGCTGCTTGCTTTAGCAGCACAGATCATATAGTGGTCCTTTGGTAGCAAATATGTTTCTCATAAACTCAGAAACAAGTTTAAATCTATATTATTTTATATGATCCCAAAAATAGCTGAAGATAGCAAGAAGAACTGATGGTGACATTGTTTATTATATGTGAATAAACCATGAAGGTCCAGTGAGAAAGACACAATTTCCTTTTTCCCTATAACTGAAGTAGGAAACCGTGTAAAAAGTATTTACTAGCACTGCATGTTTTGTCCTATTTTTTCCCACTTCACCTGGATTATCAAAGATTTCTTCTCAAAATCTATGACAAACGCCATAGTGGAATTTATAATTTAGAATGCACCATTGCTTTTTCATGCATCAAATAGACCTTGAAATTGTATTTCCAGTGGGAGATGCTATTGATAACATAGAGCCTTTGACTGTGTTTTGTTGGGAAAGGAGGAGTCTGGTTTAATGTAGTAAAAACAATCTCCATCATGGTGTCCTCTCAAGCTGTTTCTAAAAGGGCCATCTGTGTTGCAGCACTACAGAACTGTCGTCAGTTTATTCACGTAGAGAGGGGGATATTTTTATCTGTGAAATTTGTAAAGAGGTGCAGTTTCACTCCATGCTGGTCCCAAGATAAATACATTACTAGATACAGTTTGAGGAGTTCACTCAGATATACTTTAGTAAGGTGTTTGCTGTTGTTCCAACCAGGATTAAATGCACGTGTTGGGTTTAGGTTAAAAATAAAAAATTGCAGGTACTGTATGTCGATGAACATCTTTGAAAGAGAAAATGAACAATGAACAGAGACGTCAGTGTCTGTGTGTTTTCCATGAAATGTGTAATACAAACCCCAGCTTTGATGTCTTTAGCAACGCTAGCAGCATGGCTCAAGGGATGGCAATGGTCCATCATTTTTCTAGGCTGAAATATCTCAACAACTGCTAAATGGATTCCCTGTTTAATTTTGTAAAGACATTCAGTGATGATGGTCCCGAGAGGATTCATCCTATAGACTTTGGTGCCTGCTGGATATTTTCTTGAGCATACCTAATTTTCTACATGTATGTCCCTAGAGCAGGGGTTTTCAAAGTCTGTTGCGTTATGGTGAACTAAATAACAGAAGTGGAAGAGTAGACAGAGAGAAATACAGTACCTCCGGGAGCTATTGAGTTATTGTGCTTGATCAGATTAGCGAGCAACTGTCACTTTCTGGTGCAAATCTCTTTAAAACAATATTTTTATCAACCAATTTTGTGGTGACAAAATGGCGTCGATGAACAGAAAATGCTATTTTTGTATTTATTCACAATACTGTTTTAGGCTATAGCCTAATTATAATTTGAACTACATTAAGGTATATTTTACATACAGTACTGTTTTACTGTATAGTGTGTTTGAATTATACACAACACAGTAATTTAATTGGTACAGTAATTTGAAAAGCTGTACTGTATTTTAAAACGGTCAATAAAATTCAGTTGCGAAGCTGTCATCAAATATACAAGTGTGGAAATCTACCTGAGAAATACAGAAAAAGAAAAAATTCGTATATATCCGAATAATCATCCACTTATAGTGATCAATTTTCCACTGTAAGAGGGTGACTTAAATGTATTTGTGCAAAATGATTTGATGAAAGTGTTTTCATTCAAGTATTGTTGTCAGGCTAATCTTAACTTCCGCTATTTTAAAGCTCCATGTCCACTCCAGCTGTCATGTTGTAATGGAAACCTCTTTACGCCAACAGCACCAGGGCACGTAATAAATTGAGGTGTCAAAAGATCCAAAATTACCAGGACTAGGTGAGTGTTTTGTTGATGCCTGGCAGCTTCAAGTAAAGCAGTCATCATATTAATAAATTACTTGTTCTCTTTTCTTTTCTTTTTTTTACTGGCAGTAATCTGTCTGGCTCTTGGCGTCTTCCTCTCTATCCGATAATGAGGTGCCTCCAACCTCGCCCAGGGGCTTTTTTGTAGCTGCTATGCCAAATTTGCACTTCTGAACAACTTTTAATTATACTCTCTGGTATGGAAATACACCAGTTGTGGTCTAACAGCATTGGCAGTGTGAGTGCCAGTTAAAAATAATAGCCATGTGCTTTGGTCCACCTTTCTTCATTTATGTCTTTAAGGTATTAAGGTATAACATTGTTTAAAGATGCATGATTTCCATTTCTAAACAGGTGGATCCATGATGTTTTTGCTGTTAATCTAGCTCTCAGTTCCACAGTATTGGCTGATTATTAACTGAACATTAGTGGAGCCAATGATAAATAGCACATCAATAGATAGAGAATGACTGATGATAGCCATTAAACGGTCATGACAAGGCTTTGTCAGTAGGAGATTTCCCCCAATTGATTTTAGGGAGGTCACTGAATATTAATTATGCCAAAGAAAAGCTGAGAATTAAATTAAAATCATGCTGCCAAGTTTAATAAAATTTGAATTATAAGTATGTCAGTGAGTTTAAATGCAGTACAGCAACCGGTTTAAAACACCCAGTGTCAAGGCTCAGAGTACATAGAATTTCATTATATAGATAACCTTTAATGTTCATGAAGATATTGCATGGTGAAATAGGTTTCATATGCCCTTAATTATGTTCTCCCTCAGCCTACATGTGAAAATTATCATCTGCGAGCCGTCGTGAGCAACACAGCTGCTTTCAGGCGCATGTGTTTTGCTGTTTGAGAGTGCACTGCCCATATGGTGCGTTCTAGACGTTTGAAATTGAACACTGCCTTCATAAACCCATGGATCATAAAATTTAAGATTCCCCTTAAAAATGTGGCTGTGATTTAATTAAGACGAAAAACCGCAGTCCGCTTCAGTACAAAGCACATTGCTGCTGACTCCAGCTATTCCAGACAGTTTTACTGCACTTGCCTTACATTGCCATTTGTTGTTAAAGTCTGTAATTGTTTTCAACATTTGGGGAACGGCAGGCTGAGTGTTGGTGAGCAACAGGAGCAGGAACAGGGCACAAGGCTTTCGGGGGCCGCTTGAGTTACAACTTGAAGTATTTCACCTTATTTGCAGCTTTCAAATTAGCATACCATTACCACTGTGTACTACATTATATATATATTCTGTGGATTGTCCTGGTTTATTGGAGGCTGATGATAAAACTGTGTCATCTGAAATAACTTAAGCAGTGTGGGTGTCATTATGCTCTGAATGATAAAAACAGTAACAATATATCTATTTAAATTTGATCATTTATCAATGAGGGGCTGTTTATGGGAGCTTCAGGGGCTATACAGCACAACACTTGGGCGAGGTGATTATCTTTTTTTTTTTTTAAAGAAAGTACAATGTCTTTTTTATTTCTTCAATACTTTACTTCATTGCAAGACATTAGTTCACTGTTATATCATCACCAATATGTGATTGGGATATGAAAACATCTTGTAAAACCTGCACAGACAAGTTGTATTGTTCAAGTCCTTAGTTATATATTTGTGAATTAAACCTTTATTAAAAGCCATAATGTACCCAGAGTTTCCTTTACAACTGAATGGCTGGGAGGGGTCAGTCTGTCTAGAAGAGCTACTAGCCCATCCAAGACGCTTTTATTATCCAAAAGAATTAATGGAGCATTTTAATGTTGGTAGTCATTGTTCTAGCCTTTTGCCCGATGTCAGCTGGGATTGGCTCCATCCCCCTGCAACCCTGTACGCAGGATAAACGCTTGACAATGGATGGATGGTCATTGTTCTAAATGTTGTTTCGGAGGCCTATCCTACCTGCTAAGAATGAAACTTTCAGGGAAAGGTACTGTGTAGCTGTAATTTCACAGAATTAATGTTAGATTATTGAAGATGTATGTCCATAATATATGGGTTTTTTACACTAGCAATTTCAGTCTGAACAGGTTCTTGCATGGACACACACACTCTATCTTCCTATCAGACTCAGTATGCAGAGCTACAGCCAACAGTGGGACACATTCTCCCTCCTAAGAGATCAAACAGGATGCTTCCATTCCTCTATTCTTGCCTTCTGTCAGAAGGGCAGAGCCTGCCTCGATGCCTCTTTATCTTCCCCCACAGCCACCCAGACAAGGCGATGGGCTGTGTCTGTTGACAAATGCTTCACTTGTTACAGATAACAGAAACACGTAAACAGGAAATGGCCAGTGGGGCCATCCATACAAATGTTTGAAAACTTAGATTCATTCATAGTGAGATCATAGTGTTATCCAGTCAACAAGGAACCAAACATTGCACATAACAGGCTGTATTACAACATATTTCCCAACAGCACAGTCAACTTAACGATCAACCTCTTGTTCAGAAATACTGAATGTTACAATTTTCAATAATAAATACAATAATAAAGTCATTTATCATGCAAAAATGACTATATGAGAATATGTTCTGCTTTTCTTTGTGTTATATCATTAGGAATTGAAAATATTTTTGAACTGTATGCCAAAACATAAAATTTGAAGACATCACTTTCGGCTTTTGGGAAATGTGTCATTATCTTCTGAGAATAAACTACTCAGTAATCAACAGATAAATTGGTAATGAAACTTAAGTTGCAACATTTTGTCAGTTAATTCATCTTGCACCCAGATTGTGCCCAGAAAGGATTTATCCACATTA